CTCGGAGGGGCCCGGAGAGCCCTGGCGGCGCGGCGGAGCCCCGCGAGCACGTGGAAGGTCCCTCCTCGTCCTCCCTGCCTCCGCTCCCAGCCCTCGCTCTAGGCGGGGGAGGGAAGCGGAGCCCCTCTCGGTGGCCGGGGAGCAGCTCTCCTCCGTCACGCCCCACGGGGGGTCTGCTAAGACCTGTCAGGTTTACTTCCAAGTTTAAAGACGGTAGCAGTTTCTTTTCCTCATCTTGATCCTGTCTGATGCACATCATGAGAGGGCATGTTTTCAGAGTTTGAAAGCAAAGTTTGAAAGAATGTTTCCACATTCTTTGGTTTTGGGCATGTAAACGTTGTTCATTGTATAAATGTCACTTGTGATTTATTGTAGCTACAAAATGCTTCTAATTTGACAAGAATATCTATGTTCAAAAATGCTTCTTTTCAGTGGTTTTGAAACGCTGGTGGTTTGTGCTATCTTTAATCCTGAGGAAAACAGCAGTCCTTTTGTAGCAATAAAATAAAAATGCACTCATTATGTCAATGAGAATAAAGCGTGCATTGTTGCACTGTGATGCATTAACGCTGACTTTTCTTGTGGAGACCAGACAGGTCTGCTGAGCCTGTTCAGTAGCCTTACAAGTACTGTCTCAAGTACTTTAATTTTGTTTATTGCAGTCAAACGTGACATCTTCAACTGATAGCAAAATGACCACTCCTTGATAATGCCTTTTCTTTTTCTCACTGTCCTTTTCTTCTTTTCTACTTTTTTCTGTTGGTTTAGTTGAGGGCTTATTTGAGCAGCACTGTAGAAGCCCCAAGGAATTACTGGTATCAGGAATTAGGCTTGTTAATCCATTCACATAATGCTCTTTTTTTTAATCTAGTAGATATCTCTGCCTGTGGATTTCTTTTTTTTTTTTTTTTTTTAAGTGAATTGCCCTTTGGTTTAGTTAGTTGTTACTCCTAATTTCTTTGTGTTCAGACTGTTTTGGAATTCAGACTTGATCTAATCGCTTAGCGGATATTTACCAAAGAACTGCAGGTCTGTAATTCAAGGTGTCCTTCAAACTTTGGCTCTAAACGTATTACCTGTTTTAGATGTTTGTAGGTGACGCTACTGACAAAGTGTGGAAGTGCACGTGAGCAATAAATGAAGGTAGATATCTGATGATATCTGTGAGTTCTGAAGTGTGCAGGGCATGACTGTTAAATTTGACTTCTTCTGCAGATTGATAGGCAGCAGTTTGAAGAGACCGTCCGAACACTGAATAACCTTTATGCAGAAGCTGAAAAACTTGGAGGCCAGTCTTACCTTGAAGGGTGTCTAGCCTGTTTGACTGCCTATACTATCTTCTTGTGCATGGAAACACATTATGAAAAGGTAAGTCTACCTTACTGCTTGGAAGGCAGTGTATTCCATAGATTTCAGTTAAGGATTTGTTTCCTGGTAGATTTTCTGTGACTTGTACCATTCTTGTACAATTCCATATAGACACCAGAGCTTACTACAGAGTGACTTTACATATAGGCAAGCCTCTTGATAGATATCTAGTCAAACTGAGTGTTGACTTGTGCTTTAAATTCCAGAAGAATCATGTAACTTCTATCTGTAATGAAAACTGGCATTGTGACGTTAGGGTCCCCTAACGTTGTTATATTTGTGATAAAGCTGGGGCTCTGACTCTAATGCAGTAAAAACTGGTTAAGAAACTGACCTCTATGCTGTTCTATTATCAGGTTCTAAAGAAAATTGCCAAGTTCATTCAGGAACAGAATGAGAAGATCTATGCTCCTCAGGGCCTCCTTCTGACAGACCCTATTGAAAGAGGATTAAGAGTTGTATCCTTTAGTGGTTTCTTAGATTGTCTGCTGGTTTGTCCGTCTATGAAACGCTGACGTTTTATCTCAGTTAGAAGGGCATTCTGTAGTTCTAATGTCTTGCTTCTGGTTTTGTTTTCATAATCTTTTTATAGTATGTTTCCCTAACGGCCTTTCTCTGCAGATTGAAATTACCATTTATGAAGACAGAGGTATGAGCAGTGGAAGATAAAACTGTGGAGTCTAAGGTATTATTCACTTTATATTACATGTCAATCTAAACCCGTTCCTATACGCTCAGAGGGATAGACTGTCTTGCTGAGGGAGAATGTGTATGCAACCACTGCATGTAATCAAAGGCGTTTAACATAAATCTTGTGTGGATTAGATTTTCAGATACCGGTTGAAGATGTAAAAATAGCAATAATTAGCAGTATCCCACTGAATAATAGTGAAGTTCAGATGATACTAGATTTAATGAAATACAGGTCTTGATTGTGTAAATACATATAAATCTAACTTGTGCTGTGTAGTGTCAAAAATTGTTCTCTCACTTGTAGAGCCATGAGTCTTGATTCTGAAGTTTCTCTGTCATAAGATTGCTCAGAACCTTAAGCCTTCCCTTTAAAAGCAGACTTTAAAATAGGTTGCTTTTGGATCTCAGAACAGATTTCAGGCTAATCGCATAAGATATTCAGAAATAATCAGGAAAAATAATTGATGTTTTTCCTGTACTGCTGTCAAAGATGCAGTTTTCCCCATCAAATTATTTTTCGGAAGTACATGGGGCTTGGATCTCTTGTAAAAGCTTCTATGTTTCAAGCACATGTAGTCAACCCCATGACCATAGCATGTTAAGGATCCCCTTGAATTTGCCTAGAAGTCAATATGATTAGCTCCAGAATCCTGACGAATCAGTGTAATTGCATGTTACCTTGGTGCCAAGTAGATAGAACGTTGCATTCTGTATACTGTTGAATGGCAGCTTTTCTGTTCTAGAAGGGGCTGAACAATGAACAAGCATTGCCAGGGATAGTGTTTTGGTTTCATATGCCAGGTGATGGGATTATTCCAATCTTTTGAGCTCTGAAGCATTTGAGAAGATATTACATAACCATTACAGAATATTTTACCTGCTGGCCTGAGTCTCAGGGATATAGCATACCAGAAGCCAAATCTTACATAGCCTGAAGGAAAAATGCGACTAACTGTACTTAATAAGCTCATTTTGAAAAGCTGAAACTTGAACTGGCACCTTTGTTTTAGGTACTCTGCGTGTCCTGGGATGGTGATAGTCTAGGTTGTTGGCAGCGTGTGCTGGAAATATTTGTAAGTGTTTATGCCTGTTGTGCAGAAAGGAACACAGAAACAAAGGGCTTCGTTTACTGTTGGACAAATGAAATCCAGAGTACTGGCTTCTGTTCCTGTTACTTTTATCATAGCATATGTTATCCCTACCTTTCCTGATGCACACCTTCTGAGAGAACAGATTATGGCTATGTAAAGGTTTGTGTGTGGCTTTTTTTTTTCCAGTTATTTCTAATACTATGAAACTCTTATTTTCTAGCAGATAACTTGGCAACGGACTCACTGTATCAAAGCTCCCCTACCTCCTACTTTAGAGCATCATTCCTCTCTCTGCTGCCAGATCCACAGTGCCATCTACTACAAGGACTAACTTCCTAAAACTCTACTCCACGTGGGGTGACCTCCTAACTGGTCAGCATCCATTTTTGGGCCCGCTTTTAAGCGATGGGATCATTTTAGTTTTTGAAGAAAAACTGGTAAAGCTGCTTACTCCACTGAAAGAGATTGGGCACTTAGCCCAAAAGAAGCCTAGTTTTAGACCCGAGTGCAGCGCTGTTCCTCCATAGTTCTTGAGTCTTTCTGTTCATCATTCGGGCTTTGGAAAGCTACAAGTCAGTGTTGGTGTTTTCCAGGAACAAGGCCTTCCCTCCACTCCAGTACTGGAGTGATGTGCAGTGCCTCTGGCTGGCAAGAAGTGACTCAAGGCACTGAGAATGTTAAGTTTCCTGTGCTGAATCTCATAAAAACTAAAAGGCAAAGTGTCTCTTGTTTTAATGCTTTTGTTCTTCCTAGAAGAGGGAGAAATAGCTAGAGTTTAATACTGGGTGCTTTGCTACTACTGTATCTGTGCTGTTATTGCATCTGTCTATGCTCGTCAGAAGAGAAGGTCTATTTTTTCATTCATGAAACAGTAAGTACAATAAAATGGATGCTGAACCAATGAACGTAATAATCCCTACCCTAAAATTAATATGTGAAATGTAAAGCTGTTTCTTTATGGATTTATTACATATAATTTATAGGAAAATGTTGATTTGACAACTTGTTAGATGTTGTGTAAGATGGTTTCCTCACTCTAGCTGCTGGCAAACTGTTGAAAAGTAGAGCTGTGCATTATTTAGTATCTCCCATGCATAGACGTTTCTCAGCAATACCTGCAAATGTAAACTTCCCACAAACCAAGTTGGCTTAGTATTTTCTGTTGTATCCTTCTCATTTATCAAACTAAGGATGTCTTGGTTTAGGTTCTAAGAGCCATTGTCAAATAGCGGAAGGAATTCAAGAATTGTGAAAATGAGGGGAAAAGCGTGGAATAGATGGAGTGTTTTGGCTTTTGGTGATTCTGTAGGTGCTAATACTGGATCTGAAATTCCAGGCTTACTACTCAGCCACTTTTTTTTTTTTTGAGATTTGTTTAACGTTTTAATTGTATGAAACTTGTTTTTTCTAAAACTGTAACAGTGTTTGCCTTTCACATCTGTTGCAATACTTGCAGAAGTACCAATGGACTAGTAAATTTTTTCTTAAACTGTGTCTGTGTCGTACCTGAGAGCACTGCCTTGCATTAAGTAGCCACATTGTTGAGCTTTGGCGTTTACCTGAACAAACATAACTTCAACATCAACTGTCCTGGACAGGACACTAATTAAGCAAGCACTATTTCAGCTAGACTTAAGAGTTTATAGGGTATCTTTGTATGTAAAACACAGTGTGTGACACGCGCGTGTGAAGCTCGGCCGCTGTGTAACACAGGTTTCCCTCTCTTGGCAAAGGAGCGGGTGCTCGCGCCGACCCTGCTTCCTCCCTGTCCCATGGCAGGAAAGGGAGGTGGTTTCTGAGATGTGTTTATGTCTTTCCGCCTTTACTGTTTTAAGAAACTCTTCACAGCTCCGGACTGTGCTATTTCCTTCCGCGCGGAGCTCCATCCCACGGCCGCCATGTTGTTGCGGGGGCCTGCG